TTCCTTTCTAGATGATTATAAATCCTATCTCTTATAATCCTTTCCAACACTTTACCCACAACCGAAGTAAGGCTCACTGGTCTATAATTACCAGGGTTGTCTCTACTCCCCTTCTTGAACAAGGGGACAACATTTGCTAGTCTCCAGTCTTCTGGCACTATTCCTGAAGACAATGATGACATAAAGATCAAAGCCAAAGGCTCTGCAATCTCCTCTCTAGCTTCCCAGAGAATCCTAGGATAAATCCCATCCGGCCCAGGGGACTTATCTATTTTCACACCTTCCAGAATTGCTAACACCTCCTCCTTATGAACCTCAATCCCATCTAGTCTAATAGACTGTATCTCAGTATTCTCCTCGACTACATTGTCTTTTTCCTGTGTGAACACTGACGAAAAATATTCATTTAGCACCTCTCCTATCTCTTCGGACTCCACGCACAACTTCCCACTACTGTCCTTGACCGGCCCCAATCTTACTCTAGTCATTCTTTTATTCCTGACATACCTATAGAAAGCTTTAGGGTTTTCCTTGATCCTACCTGCTAAAGACTTCTCATGTCCCCTCCTGGCTCTTCTTAGCTCTCTCTTTAGGTCCTTCCTGACTAACTTGTAACTCTCAAGCGCCCTCACTGAGCCTTCACGCCTCATCTCTACATAAGCCTCCTTCTTCCTCTTGACAAGAAATTCAACTTCTTTAGTAAACCACAGTTCCCTCGCTCGACCACTTCCTCCCTGCCTGACAGGTACATACTTCTCAAGGACACGCAGTAGCTGTTCCATGAACAAGCTCCACATTTCAATTGTGCCCAGCCCCTGCAGTTTCCTTCTCCATCCTATGCATCCTAAATCTTGCCTCATTGCCTCATAGTTGCCTTTTCCCCAGCTATAACTCTTGCCCTGCTTTATATACCGATCCCTTTCCATCACTAAAGTAAACGTAACCGAATTGTGGTCACTATCACCAAAATGCTCTCCTACCTCCAAATCTAACACCTGGCCTGGTTCATTACCCAGTACCAAATCCAATGTGGCCTCGCCTCTTGTTGGCCTATCTACATACTGTGTCAGGAAACCCTCCTGCACACATTGGACAAAAACTGACTCATCTGGTCAAAAGCTTCAAGTTCCTGGGAGTGACGATCACCAACAATCTATCCTAGTCCATCTCATGTCAATGCTATGGTCAAGGAAGCACACCAATTTCTCTACTTCCCCAGAAGGCTGAGGAAATTTGGCATGTCCATGATGACTCTTACCAATTTTTATAAATACACCACAGAAAGCATCTTATCTGGATGCATCGCAGGTTGGTATGGCAAATGCTCTGCTTGAGACTGTGAGAAATTACAGAGAGTTGTGAACGCAGCCCAGTCCATCACACAAACCAGCCTTCCTTCCACTGGCTCCATCTATACTTCCTGTTGCTCCAGGAAAGCAGCCAATATAATCAAAGACCCCTCCCACCCCACTTGTACTCTCTTCCACCCTCTTCTGTCGGGCAGAAGATGCAAAAGTTTGAAAACATGTATGAACAGATTGAAGAACAGCTTCTTCCTTGCTGTTATCAACATTATGAATGGACATCTCCTATATTAGAGTTGATCTTTCTCTGCACCTTCTCTGTAGCTGCAACACTATATTCTGCATTCTGTTCTAAAGCATTGATGTACTTATGTAAGGAATGATTTGTCTGGTTAGCACACAAAATAATACTTTCCACTGTGTCTTGGTACATGTGACAATAATAAATCAAATCATTTGGAGGGGGTGTCAGACTGCAGTCCTTGTGAAATATTAGCCAATTAAGAATGTGTTTCCTGATCACTCTCTCTGTAAATATATCCAGCACAGAGCCCAGTTTTACAGACAAGGTGTGGAGGTGCCGGTGTTGGACTGGGGTGGACAAGGTCAGAAGTCACCCAACACCAGGTTATAATCCAACAGATTTACTTAGAATCACAAGCTTTCTGAACACTGCTCCTTAATCAGCTGAAGCCAGTTCTGTGTGACCTGTGAATTTTTATAGACAAGGAAGATTCCAGATCTCTGCTTTGTGAATGTTGACAATTTTCCCATCCTGCCCAGCCTGCTAACATCATATTCAAACATCTTGGTGATATCCAGCTGAGTTTGCAGCTTAGTGTTTAGCAACAAACTGAACTTGTAGCTGCAAGAGCCAGACACTTACAGATAACGGATAATTAGCAGTAGAATATCATTCGGGGCAAGGCCACTGGGTATGTAATCAAAGCAGAATTGAATGACCTTTAGAATTCTGAGTGTTTGAATCACCCACCTTACCAATCAGTTTGCAATTCCATAGTGACTGAGTTGTATAATTGCTTACAGTTATCACCCTGCTAACATTACTCTTTAATAAATATAATCTTTGTATAGACCATCATTACTCGGACTACAGCTGTTGCACATTATTCAGATGCTTATAAATATTTTACTATTTCTTTTTATATTGCTTAATAATTACATTTTCTAGTTCCACTTTGCTTTCTCAATTACTTCTTGACCTCTTTTCTAATCTCTTCATATTGCCTATTTGTCATCCTCCTTTATTGTCTGTGTAGTTATTGTGTGCCATCTTCTTCAGTTTCAATTTTGTCCTTATCTCCCTTATTCATCCATGGGTTTCATCATTGGAGAGCTTGTTTTAGTGTTTGGTTTTCAAGCCAAATACAATTCTCCTGAACTCTGTTAATCACTGATTTCAAATTTTCCAATTTTCTCTCTCTGTTAACATCCTCCTCCAATTTTTCATCTGAAGTTCCATTCTCATATGTTCAAAATTAGCTTTATTTCTAATCTATTACATTAGTCTTTGTGTTACATCTTTTTCAACCTTCATTTTAAATGAATGCTGTTGCTAAGATATTACCCTGTGGTTCCTTCCCTTACCTTTCTCTGGTTCATTTCCCCTTACCAGATCCTAAATGAATTATCTATATCAGTGTTTGCAATCAATCTTTCTTTCTCCTTAACTGAGGATGCTAGCCCATCATATATACGGACATTCCAAATAGGAGCAGAAAGGGACCATTCGGCCCCTTGAGTTTGTTTCACCATTCAATAAGATCATGGCTGATTTGTTTGTGTTTTGAATTTGACATTCCTATCTACTTCCAACAACCTCTGACTCCCACGCCTAACAAGGATCTATTTACCTCTTGTCTTAAAAATATTTAATGACCCTGCCTTCTGAGGCAGGGAATTCCAAAGTCATGCAACCTTCTGAGAGAAATTCCCCTCATCTCTGTCCTGAAAGAGTGACTCTTAATTTTAAAAAATGCCCCCTAATCCTGGACTGACCCACAAGAGGAAACATCCTTTCTGTGCTGAACTTGTGAAGACCACTTAAGATCTTATACACTTCAATCATGTTGCCCAATCGTGGTTGACAGAAGCAATGTCCACTCCTGCCTGCACTTCTGTTCTCACCTTTTCTAGTCCATCCCGAAAGCCACAGTAAGGTTCTCCTTATCCTTACTTTCTGCACCACCAACTTCTCCATTCAACGGATCATCCTCTGGCACCTCCAGCATGATGCACTCACCGAGTTTCCCTCTTCCCACCTTTCAGCATTTTGAAGGGATTGTTACCTCTGTGACACATGACTTCATTTTATCATCACCCACAACATGCCTTCTCTCCTACCCATGGCACCTTCCCATGCAGATGTAATGCCTGCCCCTGTATTGTTCTCCTCTTTTCCCACTGTGCAGGGTCTCAAGCATTCCCTCCAGGTAAAACAGTGATTTACTTGTGTTGCTTTCAATGTAGTATGCTCACCTTAGGAGCAAATTACTGCAGATACTGGAATCTGTATTGAAAACAGATCCCTGGAGAGACAGCATGAGAGCTGTCAGAGCTTTTAGTATAGTGGCTTTAATATACTCAACAGCTTGCTTATGGCACCGTCTCCTTGATATAGAGAACATCAAATAGTGATTAGGTGATAGCTTTGTAGAGCACCCCCATCTAATTCACAAACATGTGACCAATCTTCCAGTCACTTGTCATTTTATGTCACTTCCCTTAGAAGTGACAATATCCATTTCCTTACACTGTTTTGAGTATTTTATCTCCTTCTGACCTCCCTACTTTCTCTGACTAAGGACTAGCTTCATTAGGAGAAGTACATGATCGGATATGGTAATCTTCCCCATTCAGAATTTGGGCTGTAAGGTCAAGTGTCCCACTGCAATGCATTGCTTGTTTAGCAATGACAGTGACATATCCGGGAGCCAAAGCAGCGGGAATGAATGCTATGAAAGCATGACCACTTCTATAATGAACAACCCAGTCTTTTAGATTAGTGACAGGCAGAAAAATTACCCTCCTTCTCACTGCCATCTTATTCACTCCATTCTCAATCACTATGTGTTACTGGGTCAGAAATTCTGTACAGCTTCTCCTCAATATATTATGAGTGATGTTCCTTTAAGAAACTCAATATGCAGATGAGCCTGGATGTCATCACATGACCAGAGTCACTCTGTGTTGTAGCATCCAAAGGATATTACTCTTTAGTCTCTGTGCAGGCTGAGCTATAAATAAACCCATCAGAAATTTTGAAGTCCATGGAATCCATGTACTTCATTCATGCTGCATTTAGATTGCACAAGAAATTATTTTCTTCCTCATCTTCCACTCCAACCTTGATTGGACATCAGCAGGATTCCCAAAGACCTGCTGACCTTCTCTCAAGGTTATGGCAGGAAGAATCCTTGCAGAATTATGAGCCATCCTCTTGCATCTTTTCCTAATGGGAAAATCACAAGAATATCAAAACAATAATTCTGTGTAGGATCTTCATTCACGCAGCTGTGAATGGTGTTGTTAACCCTTTCTACAAATGTTCTGGTTAGCAATTGAATGTGAAGCTCCTTGCTGATAATTGTGGACCGATACCACCCACAGCACTGAGATGCAGAAAGGTCTCACTGCCCTCCTGCCCAGTAATGCCAGCAGGGAAGTGCCACTTACCATGCATATGTGCCATCTGCCAGTGACCCACATTCACCTTCTTATTGTTGCGAAAGGCCAGTGGGAAAGTGACAACATCACCAGCGGCAAAGACCCCAGGCACATTTGTTTGCATGAGCTGCGGGGACAAGAGAAAAATTTGAAAGTTTGTCATCTTCTTTTCCAGTTTCCTATAGTACAATGCTAACTTGTAGACAAGTCATTTTAGTGAATTATAAGGAGGTGTAAATCATTGGCAAAGTGACTTTTATTTCCCATCCCTAGTCACCTGGAGAAGGTGGTGAGGCTTCATCCTTAATGGAACTGCTTGATTTTGTTTTATTTATTTTTTTCACGGAATGTGGGTGTACCTGGTTCATCTCTGACTACCTTGATGGTGAACTGCTGCCTTTTCCAACACTGCAATCCTTGGAGTGTTAGGACACAAATATGTAACAATACTCAAGACCGTTCTTTGTGGTATGCACATTACCTTATTGACAGGAAGAAAGCCTTTAGAATCCATGTTGATGCCACTCTGTTTTAGGAATGAAGTAGCTGGAACTACACCTACAGGAGAAGATTAAGAAGCATGATCCATGGGGCATCCTTGGCTGAGATCATAGAATCATAGAATCCCTACAGTGTGGAAGCAGGCCATGTGGCCCAACAAGTGCACAACGATTCTCTAAAGAGCATCCCATATAGACCCACACACCCCGGCCTATCCCTGCATTTCCCATGGCTAGTCCACCTAGCCTACACATCCCTGAACACTATGGGCAATTTAGCACAGCCAATCCACTCAAGCTGCACATCTTTGGAGTGTGGAAGGAAACCAGAGCACCCAGAGGAAACCCACACAGGTGTGGGAAGAAGGTGCAAACTCCACGCAGACACAGATGATGCAGTAATGTACATTACAACTGCCCACACTCCAATTTAATTAACTATATTTCAAATGCCTGGCCATTTCAAGCCTTTAACTGATTTTAGAGAACCCAAAAAGACAAACTGGACACTTCAAAATCATTTTAATCATTAGCAAGTGCTTTTCACTAGTATCTGTCAGGCATGGCAGTCTGTTCACTGCCTCTTCATCATAGTGAGACCCTTCCACTGATTGTCTCCTGTAGTCAGCATAAGACTATCCCAAGAGCATTTCATTGGGGTTATTATAGTGTAACAAAACCTGTATCAATGTGAAAAGATCAAGTCAATCACCCATTTTATGTTGATTGCAGGGAATGGAAAGGGAAATCAGAACCCATTAGTTTGTCATTGGGTGGGTTAGGTTAAAGACAACCTCCTCAAAGTTGTGGATACACCTTATGTCCCAGGTATATCTCAGGGCATTCTCACCATTAAAGGGGAAGGTTGTTGAAAATATTACACTGAGAACTACACATCGCTCATAGCACAGCCATGGGGGAGGAGAAAGCTCATTGTCCTCATCCTGAACCAAGACTAAACAGAAAATCTAAACTGTTTAGTTAGAAGCTCCCTGGGAAACGTGCTTACCAATTCCAACTACACAAACATCTGCTCGTAGGATCTTCCCACTTTTCAGAACAACTTCTTTCACCTTGATTGAGATAAAACAGAAAGTGTCAGCTGTTGGATGGTTCATGATAGCAAATCACTTCAGGGAAAAGTTTGTTTCTTTGGGAATCTTGGATCTCTGTTTCTTTTTCTCCTTACCCAGTGTCATCAACAAACTCCACCTTTGTCCTCCCGCTCAGTGAATATAGCGTGGAGTGTGAGGCTGATCTGTTCTCAGATCTCTGCTACTGTGTAACCAGTGCCTCCTTTATTCATGAGCTTAAAGCTGGTGCCTTCCTGTGCTGACATGGTCATGATGAGTGCCAGCTCACACACAATCATTGCCACGTTGTGCCTTCCTGCAGCTGCCCATGGTCTTCACACTTAACCACAGTATCTCTGACGGGCACCTGACTTACAACTGCTACCAACCTTCCTATTGCTTCCCTGGGATGCTGCGTGACATGATCACTGCTTGGTGAGGTAGGAGAGTGTTGACTCACGTATCTCCCCAAAGAACCATAGGGTTATAGTCACAGACTCATACAGCACGGAAACAGGCCCTTCAGTCCAACCAGTCCACACCAACCATAATCCCAAACTAAACTTGTCCCACCTGCCTGAATTTGGCCATATCCCTCCAAACGTTTCCTATTTGTGAACTTATCCAAACGTCTTTTAAACATTGCAACTGTACCTGCATCCACCACTTCCTCTGGCAGTTCATTCCACACATGAACCACTCCCTGTGTAAAAAAAGTTGCCCCCATGCCCTTTTTAAATCTTTCTCCTCTCACCTTAAAAATATGCCCCCTAATCTTGAACACCCCACCCTAGGGAAAAGACCATTGTCATTCACCTTATCTATGCCCCTCGTGATTTTATATACCTCAACCGAGCCACTCCTCGACCTCCTTCACTCAGCCTTTCTAGAAAACTCTGGTTAGACGACACATGGAATATTGTGTTCAGTTCTGGTCACCTCATTATAGGAAAAATGTGGAAGCTTTAGAGAGGGTGCAGAGGAGATTTACCAGGATGCTGCCTGGACTGGTGGGGCAGGTCTTATGAGGAAAGGTTGAGGGAGCTAGGGCTTTTTTCATTGGAGCGAAAAAGGATGAGAGGTGACTTGATAGAGTGGATAGTCAGAGATTTTTTCCCAGGGCAGAAATGACTATTACGAGGGGGCATAATTTTAAGGTGATTGGAGGAAGGAATAGGGGAGATGTCAGAGGTAGGTTCTTCACACAGAAAGTGGTGGGTGTGTGGAATGCGCTGCCAGCAGTGGTAGTAGAGTCAGACACTTTAGAGACTTTTAAGTGACTCTTGGATAGGCACATGGAGGATAGTAAAATGTAAGGTATGCAGCGTAGATTGATCTTAATAGGATAATAGGTCGGCACAACATCGTGGGCCGAAGGGCCTGCACTGTACTGTACTGTTCTATGTTCTATGTTCTATGTTTCCAGTCTATTTTTATATCTCAAACCTTCCATTCCTGGCGACATCCTGGTAAATCTCTTCTGAATCCTTTCCAATTTAATAATATCCCTCCTCTAAGAGGGCGACCACAACTGGACACAGTACTCGAAAAGACGCCTCACCAACGTCCTGTCAACCTCAACATGACGTCCCAACTCCTATTCTCAAAGGTCTGAGCAATGAAGGCAAGCGTGCTAAATGCCTTTTTAACCACCCTGTCTACCTGTAACGCAAATTTCAGTGAATTATGTAGCTTTTTTACTGCTCCATGAAACAGCTGTCTCCCACCCAACAACCTGAGCTACAATCCCACCACCATAAACCACTGTAAACAGAGACAATGCTAATTGTAATGATGGACAGCTAACAAAGAGAGAAGGGACAAAGCAGAAGAACGAGTTGGTTGATCATCCGGGATCGTATTGAATGGCGAAGCAGTCTCCAAGGGCTGAATGGCTTAGTCCTGCTCCTATTTTCTAGATTTCTCTGTTTAAGAGGACAATGCTCCAGTAACATCTTAATGCAATGGTTCAGTACCTTTCCATCCTGTCCCCGTAGCTCTGAGACCTCATTCTGCAGGTAGAACTTCACACGATTGGTCTCAAACATCTGCATCAGACAAAACACACGCAGCAGTGAGTAGAATCAATCCATAAGTAATATCATCGCTCACAGCCTGAAGGTTCATTCCAGTCACCCTCACTGATGGATCATGGGAGCTAAGTGCTTCCTTCATTCATTTGCTGGATAATTCCAGAACATTCTTTTTGGAAAATGACTTTGAACCTCACCTAGAGTTTTCTGGAACAGCATGATTTGTGGCTTTTGAACTGATTTTAACGGTGGAGTTGATGACATAACTGTGCGTGTTAAACATCACTCCCTACACATTTCTGTTGTAGGTTTTTAAGGCTTAAAGAAAAAAAACAACTTGTATAGGTACGGCAATTTTCCTGACCTTCGAAAATGCTTTACAACAGATCAATTACTGCTGTAATGTGGGAAACATGGCAACCAATCTGTACACAGCAGAAATATGATAATGACACGATCATCAGTTTTAGCCATATTGTTTGTAAAATCATGAGGAAAATGGATAAGGTGAATAGACAAGGTCTTTTCCCCAGGGTGGGGGAGTTTCTTTTACTATTCATTTATGGGATGTGGGCATTGCTGGCTAGGCTAGCCTTTATTGCCCATCCCTAATTGCCCAGAGGACAGTGAAGAATCAACCACATTGTTGTGGGTCTGGAGTCACATGTAGTCCAGACCAGGTGAAGACAGCAGTTTCCTTCCCTACAAGACATTACTGAGCCAGTTGGGTTTTTCCAACAATCGGTAATGGATTAGTGGTCATCATTAGACAATTCTTAATTCCAGACTTCTAAAAAATTCCACCATCTGCCATGGCAGGATTGGAACCCAGGTCCCTGGAATATTACCTGTGTCTGGACTAAGAGTCCAGCAATAATACCACTAGGCCATAACCTCCCCAAAACTAGAGGGGTATAGGTTTAAGGTGAGAGGGGAAAGATTTAAAAGGGACCTGAGGGGCAACATTTTCATTCCGAGGGTGGTGCTTGTATGGAACAAGCTGCCAGAGGAGATGGTGGAGGCTGATACAATTACAACATTTAAAAGGCACTTGGATGGGTATATGTATAGGAAAGGTTTGGAGGGATATGAGCCAAAGGCAAATGGGACTAGTTCAGTTTAGGAAATCTAGTGAGCATGGACGAGTTGGGCCAAAGGGTCTGTTTCTATGCTATAACAGGCAGAAAAAAAGTCTTAATGTTCACATGAGAGGGCTGCAGGGCCTCAATTGTAGATCCTGTCTGAAAGATGGTACCTCTGATAATACAGCATTCCCTCAGCATCGCACAAAAGTGTTGGTTATTAAGGGTGGGTCATCATTTTTGTTTTGTAGTTTATTCATGGGATCTGGTTATCACTGGCGAGACCAGCACTTACTGCTGATCCCTAACTGAGGAGGTGGTAGTGAATGAGGATTTTGACCCAGTGCCAGTGCAGGAACAGTAACATAGTTCTAGATTATGATAGTGAGTGGCTTGCAGGGGAACTGGCAGGTAATGGTGTCCCCATATATCTGCTGATCTCACTCTTTCCATTGAATCATGCCTCCACCATCGACAACACCACTTTAAATCAATTTAGGCATGAAGAATTAACTGGGAATCATTTTATTAGCAAAACAGCATAAAGTCTATTCTTCAAAATATTTTTCGCTGCTGAGGATCTTGTCTGGTTCAGTCTATATGAAGACATCTTTCCATAAGCAAGCTTAACCTGTGCCTTCAATGTGTGCTTGTTGCTAATTATATCTCCTTTTCCTACTATTACTTACCTTCATGATTGATCGTCCAACTTTCTCTCCCAGCACCTTCCTGAAAGGAATGTTTTCAATCCCCACAACGGACACAGAGTGGGCTTTATCAGTGAGGTAGGCCGCTACTTCCATCCCTGCAGAGAACAAACCATTCTGTAATGCAATCTCCGCCCTCATCCTCAATTATTAGATTCAACTTCCCTTGTATTTTACTGAAGACTGTGTCTGAATTCTAAAGTTGAACTCTTGTTGAGTTTCTTTTTGAATTAACCAGGTTTGAGATGTTCCCTTGCCTTTGATTAATGTGGCTTCACAACATGTGCTGCAGGCATGGGACTGAATCAAACCAGCACTGACATGATGGAAGTCTTTACATTGCTGGCTGTAAAGATCCACTGAGAAACAGTGAAGAGAGGTTGTGAGGCAGAGGCATAAGGCAATCTACCAGAACCACTAGAGTAAATAGGATTGAGTGGCTGCCAGACAACAGTATAAACTGACCACAGTATAAACTGACCAAGCTTTCCAGCATTAGTTGGCAATTGGCACTCAGAGGTGGCAGATGTGGTTTGAACAGGATATGTGAATAGGTACTATCATCATAGTGGCACAGAATGAGGCCATTTGGCCCATTGAGTCTGTGCCAACTCTGTCAGTCTCACTTCCCTACTCTATCCTGCAAGTTTATTCCCTCAGGTACCTTCAATTCACCAAACTTCCCAAACTTCCCCAAACTTCCACCCCCCCTACTGACAATGAATCCAGATCGTTACCATTCACTGAATAACACATTCTCTCTCACATGTCACAGAATCACTGCTTGTACTTCTTTCAATCTCTCCGACTCTATTCACTGCTCACCATGTGATCTCCTGTACGTTAGGAGACTGGGTGACCATTTGGCAAAACACCACCATTCAGTTTGCAAGCGTGAGCCTGGTTGCTTGACATTTGAGTACAGCAGCTTGCTCTCATACTCACATCTCTGTCCTTGACCTGCTGCAACATTCCAGTGAGGATCAACGCAAACTTGAGGAAAAGCACCCCATTCACTAATTGGCCACTCTACAGCCTTGTAAACTCAACATTGAGTCTGTTGTGGACCAGAGCAGAAATAACTTTACTAATACCTGTTACTAATTAACTGTTCCAATATAGTAACATCCCACAACCACAACCCTTGGCAAAAAAAGGAACATTCAGGCACAGTTCTTCCATCCAGGAGGAAAAACACATCAAGAGTAAATTCAGAGAGAGTAGCAGCTGGGAGACATTCATTGAAACTTGCAACTCTGTTGAGACCCCAATAGCTTCTGCTTAAAGCTAAACCTAAAAACCCAGAAATCCTGATCTGTGAGAGCTGGCCACACTCATTCAGGCTGTTTAAACAAAACCAAGGCCTCCCGAGCTGTTTATTCTAGTGGTTCTGGTAGACTGCTTTATGCCTTTGCCTTACAACCTCTCTTCAAATGAAAATAAAGGACAAAAAAATTCTTACAGTCACAGCGTTGTCACAAGTTCAACAATTTCAGATCAACCCTGTCCCCCATTTTAATTCTGTTTTCTAGACACAATTTGGTCTTGTTCTTAGACAACAAGGTGCAGGGCTGGATGAACACAGCAGGCCAAGCAGCATCATAGGAGCAGAGAGGCTGACGTTTCGGGCCTAGACCCTTCATCAGAAAAGGGGGA